AGAATATTTACTATATCTGTTTTTAAAACTACATAGTTTTAAACTACAACTTTTAAAACAAAAAGAAATGACACTACAAGACAGTTCAATGAATAGGTCTTACTTTTTTGCCATGCTCGTTTTACTGCAAACATAAAGTTATGTCAATTTCTAGCGTGATACTCAGGTAAATAAATTTGATTTAGAATTAAAAAAGTCAAAACACGAAGAACATTTGTACTGCGTTGCCAAAAGAGACCTCCAAAATAAAAAATAAGAAAATTTTTCACTTATAACTTCTTTTGAAGCAGTATCATTATATATCTTTAGAGCTGAGCAATTCATTAATGTTTTCCAAGTTGCCAATGAAAACTAATGAAGTGTTCAAAAAAGTACTGAAAAATTAAACATACAAACACTTTTTGCAGCAATTTTAGGACTAAGTCAAGAAAGTGGATTGTGATCTAAGAAATCCTTACTGTCCATATTGCTGCTCAGTATGGAACAGGAATAAGTGAAAGCAAAGACAAAAGCAGGCCTAGCTGTACATCAGGAGCTAAACATTAAAAAGGAATTAAGTGGGAGGAAAATAACAGAGAGAATTACAGAATGCATCACTGTTTTTATATCCAGTTCTCTGAAACAGACTGCCCGAATTCTTCATAATTTCATATTAGTATAAAGTAAAACTACAAACCACGTGGATTTTCCGATCTATCCAGAACCATCAGAGTAGAAAGCATCACCTCATTTTATAGAAACAAGAGAGAAGTTAATGGCAATAAAGTAACATTTGAGAAGCCAGTATGCGTGATCCTATCTCTCCCTGAAACCATCCAATGTTTTCCAATAATCAAGTAAGCCTCTGTTTTCAGAGGATGGAGAGACTTTTGAGCTCCTAAGAGGAAAAGAAATTCTGGTAAGCTACATAGGATTCTTTTTATTAGAAGCTACATTAGATTCCTTTTATTAGGTTCACAAATTGAGTCAGTTGAAATATCATTCCATAGTCTGCTGACCTATTTCAACTCTTTCAAAGCAGTGCATTTGAATTAATTAAAAAAAAAAAAAAAACCACAACATCATTTCTATGTTCATCTGTCTTTAAAGGGACTCATTTCCAAACTTTGTTTTGGGCATCCAGCAATGTGATAATTCAAAATACATTTTTCTGCATTTTGGTAGACTGCTGTCTAATCACTTACATCTTGATGTTTGTCTACCCAAATCCTGAAATTGAGAATTTCTCAGCAATATATGCAAAAGACCCATTTACAGAGACCATAAAATCAGTTTCAAAAACACCTTTGAAATGAGTTTTGGCAATAATGAAACAGCTTACTGAGCAGCATTTTTTTTTAAACGTTATTAGGTACAAACGCTCAACAAGTAAGCCGTGTTCTTTTAATCACTTTTTACTTAATGAACAGCATTTTTTCCTCAGCAGTATTTCCTCGAAAATATTTATACTTCCCATTTAGAGCATGTTAGTGTTCTGAAAACACAGTAATTGCTTACTCCTCAAAATATTCAGGGAGGGGAATAGTCTCTCCAACATACACAAACTCGAAAAGGAAGATCTATAATACAAAGTGGAGCACAACACAGAATTTCCAAGCTGGCTGGGAACGATCTCCAAAACTGAAAGTGCTTGGCTTGAGCTAGCTAGCTACTTAGTATTTCTCCATGGAGTACCAGAGAATTGTGTAGACATACTAAAACTCACGTGGATCTCTGTACTGTGATCCATTAGATGACACAGACATGCTCACAGCATTTTGCCAGGAGTTACAAAGCACGGTTAAAAGTTAAGCTAAGACTTGTATTTTAATGACTCTGACAATCCAGTTTTCAGTAAAACCTCACATTCTGCCAAGCAGGTCAAAAATCAATTGAACAAGAACACTACTAGCCAAGCCCAGAAGGAGAATGCTCTCGTCACACAACACCAAGGCACCCGAACCTTGTTTCTTCCTCCATCAAACAGGTCTACCAGAAGTCATATCTAGCACGAGTCTTTCTCAAACTGCCTCCTTTCTCTGAAGTCTGAGAGCTAGTTTAGACTTAGGAAAAAAAAAATGTAGAATACATAAGAAGCCTAAATCCTAGAACTGCTTTCTTTTCAATCCTTGTTCTATGGCAATCGGTAAATAACATCAAGCACAGAGCCTGGGACAATAACAATAATAAATGCAACATGGTATGCACAAGAGTTTTGAGTTACAGAGGTCATAACACCATTTTAACCACTTGTCCTTCCTACATCAACTTGCTGGTTTGGGACTCCTTATGTCCTAACCTTATGTTGCTGCAAAAGCCCAAGGCTTACTTCACTAATGCTCCAGCTGTCATTGGTACACTTCTGACCAGAGGTGATATCCTGCCCTCACCTACTAACAGAAACCAAAACTAGGTAGAAAAAGAGAACAGGCCAACACTGTAGCATACACTACTCAGGCAGCTGATACGTTTGCTCAAACAAGTACCAACAAATGGCAGTCCTCTCACTTCAGATGCTCTTGAAGTGTAATAGCTTATTCTTATAGTCAATAATCACAGGCAACAAAGATGTGCTGTTTGTTTCCTTCTGACTAACACAGATTATAAACCAAGAGGAAAATAGGAAAAAAATTTTGACAAGAGCATCATACATCTTGAATTAATCTTTCACTGTATATGGAACACTTCCATTCAGGAAATTCAAATGGTAGCTCTTGCCGAAGGCAAATCATATTTGAGCCCAAGTAATTCTTATGTGTTCCGAGACTGAATAGTCACATACAGAGTGCACATTGCTGGATGCAACTTAAAAACATGCTGTACTAAAAATCTGGAATGTAAAGCTTACTGGAAAACAAAAACTAATTCCTCATTGAGGCAGACAGGTATACTTGCTACACTAACTGCAATATCAATCTATAGTAGCACATCAAGCAATGGTTGCAGGATACGTGCTGATAAGGCATAAAATCGTAAGCTACAACAAAGCTCACTTTTTTTAATCTGACTCCTGTTAGATAACACTTCCCTTCAAATAGTTAAGGGGTAAAGACCAAGAGAATTCAGTGATAAGTCCTGCTATTAACCCATTGCACAGATAATCTTCAGGTTCTTCCAACATGCTCATGGACACGTTTAAGTCAAGATCCTGCTCTTAAAAGACACTAAACTATAGTTTGCATAAGGACTATTCAGCATTAATGAAATTCCTCTACAAGGCAGAACTGCCAACAATAAAGGGAATGAAAATTAACAATTATTTATCGTTTAGGTAGATCCCACGGTTTAAGCAGAAAAGTTCAAGTCCGACACCAAATCACATCTGTGTTTTAGTATTTGCGGATCCTTCCTGGATTTAGGCCATAGAAATAGAAAACAGCTATCCTATGCGGTTTGCAGAGAGAAAATTCAAACAGCCTAGCAAATTAAATTGGAGACAAAACCCTCTCTTCTGAGGGGAAAAGCAGTACAGCCCCCAAGCACCAAAGCTTCATTATAAGAGTGAAACAAAAGCAGCTAATAAGAATTGCTCAACTACTCAACAGCTATGGGAATAACATTATGTAACAGGTACCTTGACAAGATAAGCGCCTAAGAGGATTTTTATGATCCAGCTTGAAACTATCATAGAAAATGCAATTAAAAGGGATTTCAAAAGGACATCAATGCTAATTTTTTTTGCCCCAACACAGCATCAACCATGCCATTCTGACACAAGTTCATCATCAATTTGACTTGAAAATACTTTCAGAGATGAGGATTCCACAGCCTACTTGTGAAATCTTTTCCCGCATTTACCTGTTGCCATTAGAAAGCTTTCCTAAACACTTTATCTGAACATCCTTACAGCAGTATAAGCCTTCCTCCCTGTTCTAACCACCAAGGTCCTAAAAAGACATTACTTTATTCCCCTCCACAGCAGGCTTTCATATATTTATATAACACAAAATGTTTCTATCTGTATTTTCTAGATAGAAATCCATTGTTTCAAAACTTGATGCTTTTCCTGTAGCTCTCCTCTGGAATCTACTTTTTCCACATCTTCTTTAAATAGTAGTACACAAAACCGAACACAGTTTTCTAGCTGAAGGTTCTCTAAGAATCTCTAGATAGAACAAGTTTGAGTTCTACAAGTACACAGAGCTATAAAAAACTCACTGTGCCAGAGCTGCTTGTAAGGTAAAACATGATAATTGTTAATCTTATGTGTAATGTTAACCTACCTATTCCTGAATTTGCTCCAGTGATTATAACCACTTTTCCACTCAAGTCACGACCCTGAAGTATTTCCATCGCAGTACTGTTTCCATCGTATTTTTGTCTAGTAGTAGGTTTTACTGGATTATCTTCAACCGTAAATGCCAGTCTTGGGTCGAGGTAGGTAGTCCTTTTGTTTATGTGGCTGCAAAAGGACACAAAAATTCAAAAATTCAATTGTTTTAACCCTCTGTACTCTTCATTTAGACTTGAAATGTTCTGTTTCAACTCCTGTTGTATACAATTCCAGTGGATTATTTCCATTCCCAAAAAATCAAAATTTTCTTTCGGTTTTGAGAAACAAGTAATATGAATCATTTCAGCAATCATTTTTCTCATTGTGACAGTGTTTACAAAGATTTGTATTCAAGTACTTCACGGTCCCACTCTGAACTTCACATGAGCCCCTGATGTACAAAGCAGAACCCTGTCACAGGAAAATTTGCATTGTATTAGGGAAGATCATGCTTTCTACAGAGCTTTATGAAAGGGGCCCGTAGCACTCTTGAAGCAAGATACTGATGAGTAATACAGTTGCTGATGCTCCCATAACTGGATGTTGGTTTTCAGATAATTACTAAAAAGAGATGCTTTGCAGTGACTTTCGGTCTTCAATCCTTACTTACAGGACAGAGTGGCTACACTTAATAATTTTGGACTGTGAATATTCTTCATTTTTACAATTCAGTTTAAGATAATCATCCTATTCTGACCTTTTAATTGAAAAGGTACAGAAAGGAAGTGCTCCCATACAGAAATGTTTCCAGAAACGTCCTTCTGCTTCTTAGAAAATTAAGGGAGGAGGAAGTTCACAGAATCTCCTCCAGTTTAGTCTCTGTCCTTTTTTTATTTTCTGCTTTAGACTGCAAATCAGGCAGTGCTGTAGCAATTTTATTTTCATCTTATATCTTTTAAGTACTATTGCAGTGTTAACAGTCATCCATAAAGTTCTGAGCAACTTTTAAAGTTATATATGCAATGTTTATATCTAAAGTTATACAAACAAAATGAACCTACATTAACGTTGCCTGAAAACAGTCAGATGTTGACACGTAAGTCGCTATAATCTGTCACCCAACTAATATTTCTGCACATGTCAAAGAATTCAGGAAACTACAAAAAGGGGTGTTTAGATATTACTGTATCTGTAAAATTTACATTTGGATTCTAATGCTTTGCTTACGAGTTTCTTTATAAGACTAGCTGATATTATCACACTCAAAAAGACTACCAAACGTGAAATATAGTTGGCCCATCTACTTGTCCATATCCTACATTTTCACATACTTACTCCACGAAATAGACTTGTCCACTTTCATCCGTCTCCTGCTCCCATCCATATGGCAGACCTAGAAAACACAGATAAAACATCTTTTTGCAGGCATTAAAGCACAGTCAGATTTGAGGTTTCAGTGATTTCTCAGACAGAAGTTGGCAAAAGTCTGCACTATTTCTATAGGTAACATACCTACCTGCTGCACTTCAGTATTGGAATTTGGAAGAAGGACTGCTTCCCTAATCACCATGCAATTGCTCTCTACTAAAAGTGCCATCTTTATAATTAATAAAGATAAAAATACCAACTGATCACTCTGCACAGACATAGGTAAAGCCACACTGAAATCAGCTACACTTTGCAAGCTGGGTTTAACTCGGTGACTAGAGCCAACTAAGGAGATCAAGGGGAAATCTAGTTCCTGAGAAGACTCCAATTGTTGCTTATAACACAGTTTTACTACGTTACAAAAGCTTAACACAAACCTCCTGCAACACGTTTCCTCTTTCCAGATTTAGGATGCTCCCACTGTGTTTTTTCTTCAAGGTGACTGGAAAACAAACAAACAAAAAGTTTAATGAAGATTTAAAACAGCTCTTTCTGGTGCACTCCAATCAGGGGCTTTTTTTTTTCCCCCCTCCAATTCAGCACAGAACATGGCTTGTCTCCCATGGAAAAAAAAAAGAAACATGCCAATCCCTTGTTTAAGGGGCTTTAAAGGTGCTGCTAGAAGCTAACCGGCTTCCATTTTGCCACACTCTGAGGGAAAAATAACTAGCCAGACAGCATAGGAGTCTACAAAAGTTCAAGTCAACGTTTAACTTCTAATCTAAGTCTTGTTGCTTACAAGAAGAAAGAAAATCGCTTGAGTAATTAAAGCATAACATTAACAGACTTGGACAATTTCCCTTCAAGATGGTGGCCCTTGGAAGGGAAGAAAGAAGCAGCAGCAAAAGACTATCAGAAGCTAATCAAAGTAATATTAGGAGTCTTCAAAAGAGAAGAGCCCCTTTCTAAAACTAATTTCTAATCATGTTGATTTGTAAGCTGCAAGGTAAACAAGTTTGGATTTCTACATGAGCAACCGCATCTTTAAATAGGAGAGCTTATCCTAAAGGCCTTGAAGAGCAGACTACTTAATGGGGATGATAAAGATATCACATCTTATCTTCTAATTTAGAGATCATTTTTTCCACTTAAATCACTGTAACTGAATCAGCTATTCATTAACTGTACCATGAAGTTTTTTGCACTGCACACTAGTAAGCAAAGCAATGCGCATACAAACAAGGTTAAGGTCTTAACAGAACCAGAGCACTGAAATCAGTCTGGATATTAATATTTTATCTTCCATCAATTATTAGAGACAATAACCAAGCGTTTAAGAGTCAGGCAGGGATTATTTGAAAGAGTGTTTTTTTTTGAGAAAGAAATGAATAGGAAGAACTACTGAATGCATACACAAATAAACACTAAACTCAAGATCTGGTATCAACAGCGAAGCATATACAAGAAAAGCAATTCATTTCAGCTTGAAAAAATAAACAGGCAGTTGAGCCACAGTAAGCAGCACATCACAATTCTATTATAGGAATCAGAGCTAGATGGTCTAAGATTAAATGGGTGCATATATATGACCCGCAGTAGCACTTGAATTTCAGGACACTCACATTCTAGAGATAAATATGATCCTGAGTCCCCCTATAAAATGAAAACTGTCATATTTTACCCGATGTGTAGCATTAACCTATTTATTCCCGACTCCTGTCGGGTGCAAAATACATAACCAAATTCTCATAGCTTCACAAACACATGCATGCACAACCACTGAGCTTTGGTAAATAACCACATGCATGCCCAGCTCATCAAAAGGACCTTTAAAAGTCCTAAATGAAAGTAACTCTACTGTAGCTCAGCCTAAAGTTGTTAGCGTTGATAAGGTTTAAAAATATATTTTCAGAATCTGCAAAGGTAACATACAGGTGCAGAGCTTATATTCAGGCAGCAATAGCATAACACCTTTTCCATCTGAGCTGTATTTCCACACTCGCAAACTCTTAGCTAGTGAAGATGGACCTTGTTATTAGTTTAAACAGAGTTAACTCAGTTTCACAGCAGCTAACAACCACGCCTACTACATTAATTGTTCGTATACAAACGGTTGCTCATGCTAAGAGGCAATACCTGACTGTTTTACAGGTTTTCTAAGATCACCTAGTGATTCCCTTTTTGAAAGGGCTTCTATAGGGAAGGAGCATATAAGGAAACCTGACCTAAGATCAGCAATTGACTAGACAGAATTAGCAGTGCTTATAAGCTAAATATCAAATAAAAAACATTTTCTCTAGCGCTTGCAGATCAGAGTTTGGGAAGAAGAAGCCAACTCACTACAGATAAGGCAAGCTGTCTGCACTATACTTTTACCCCTTTTTATGGGAGCGGGCAAGCCTTTTAGTTTTAAATGAACTGAAACAGACTCCAAGATCAGCACAATTATAGGAAACCATAAGAGAGGAGAAAAATATGTAAACATATATTCCACTGAGTTAATCCTGTTAATCCAGCACTCTTTTGTAACTGGTGGGGATTTGACAGTTTTCAAAGCGGCACAGCAGATGGTGCCTCAGGCGAATTTGTATCTCTTGTCAAAGCCGTGGTATACTGCAGAGCTGGGGGTGAGCACTTAGCGTTTTTAATTTCTACTGCACGTGCCACGACTAACTTGACTAACTGTCTTCTCTACTCCTGCAAGGAGGAAAACTAAGAGAACTGCAATACTGCGTAAGGCTCGGTTGCCTGCGTCGCGCCCCACAGGGCGCAGAAGGTACGCTCTGAGCCATAAAGCGCACTGCAACACCGCCACAGCCGTGCTCCAACGGACTCCCGTAGCCAGGCGCGTCTCCCTGCGCTCCCCCATCGCTGCCCCACAAGGTGGGAGGCTAGGGCTCTGCCCAGGTGGCCGGTACCGCACTAACCTATCTCCTCCCTGTTAGGCAGGATTTATCTCCCAGTCCTCCTCTCCTTCTACCTGCGAAGGTCCGCACAGGGCGGATAGCGCCGGGGGGCCGAGCCCACCTCTGCCACGCTTTTATCCTCAGCGGCCCCAGGAGGGCACCAAAAGCAGAAACGGAGTCGCGGAGAGATGGTTCCCCCCCTCCCCCGCCCCGAGGCGACCCAAGCGCCGGCTCCGCCGCCGGCTCCGCCCTGCGCA